CTATCAGAATATAATTTACATGACACTCTATGTCTGGCAAGGAGAACAGATGAACATGTTTTTTCTCTGACCACCTGTCCTGGGACTACTGTCTTGTGCTTCAGCTTCCCCATTTCACATCACTCCAGGGACGGGCACCGCTTCTCTGCAAGGACTCAGTAGAAAAACTGGTCATGTTTGCAGGGATGTGGCATTTTCCAGGAAGCATTTAATTCGATAGATAGGAACCAAGATGACCCCAACTTCAAAGGACTTGGGAGATCAACATCTCAGACTATAAGGAGTCACACATAAACCAGCTCCCATCTGCTGTTAGACCTAAAGAGCTCCAGACAGAGCTATCAGGCTGAGCATTTCCTCACTTGGCCTCCAGGGACTTAAGGTATTTAGTCTAAGAAGGGAAACCTTAGGTTACTAGAAAAAAGAGTATCGGTTTTTGATAGATATGAAAGTGAGGACTCAGCAAGAAAAGGATTGAAAATCTTACCCAGAACAGTGGAATTCCAGAAAGTCCAGCTTGCACTGTCAGCGCTTTGGGGCCTGAAACAGTCCTGACTGGATGTAGCTCACTGTAACTTTCAATTTAAACGTCCCCAGAAGGTGTGTGCCTTCATTTGATAGGAGCAGACTCAGGTCAGCAGAAAATGGAGTATTCCGAGACTGGTCAAGTGTTGAGGTGAGGACCTTGAAGAGGAATGAGGAGACCAACACACGTCCCAGAATAGAGGAGCTTCACAAAAATTCCAGTGCCGTCTGGCCTCGGATGTGCAGGACAGAGCAATGAAATGAAAGACCCCCTATCCTGGAAAGCCTCCAAACAGGTAGCACTGAGGATTCTCTTCATTCAATTTGTGTGGTTTTGGGGAAGCCAGGGCCTTTTTCTGAAGAGGATGGCCCCAGTTCTGCACAGGGAAGAGTCCTGGCTTTAACCGGAGTCAAGATGAGGATCGCGAGGGCATAGGAGGGGCTTCTTCCCAAAAGCAGTGTCACCCGGAGCCCTGCCCCCGCCGAGGCTCAGGCAGGGGTAACCGGATGTGGTGCCCAGATTCTTCTCGTCCAGACCCAGGAGGTGAGGGCTTGTCTGGAGGCTCTCTGATACGGATCTATTGAGAGAGGAGTCCCGGGCTGCACTAGATATCAAGGGGAAGACCCTGAGTGAGGACCTAGGGACCGCGATTGCGCAGCCCCGTCCCTGCTGTCAGCCCCGGGAGACCCCACGCAGCCGAGACCGGATGTGGTCAACCCTCTCTTTTGCCTGGAAAGTCAGGACTTCCGCTGGAGGAGCGGCGCGTCCCCTCCGTGTCGGTTGGCCGAGAGTGAGTTTCCAGGAGCCGTCTGGGACAAAGGGGAAGACTGAATAGTCTGTAAGGACCTCACCGCGCACACACGTAACAAAGGGGGGGCCCACAAAGCCCCGCTGCCGTCATCGGCCGGGACAGCCGCAGGCTGAATTC